GGGCGAGCGCGCCGGGGTCGGGCGCGTCGGGGTCGGGGTCGGGGGCGAGCGCGCCGAGGTCGGGGGCGGGCGCGGCGGTGCGACGGGGCCGGGGAAGAGAGAGTGGGGATTTGGGGGAAAAGAGGCGGGATGAAGCAGGGAGAGGGAGAATTTTGGGTTAAGTGGACGTAGCAGTAGCGCGTTTACACGAAACGCGCTACTACTATCACGAGCAGCTATAGCAATTTTCTGCAGAAACCGCTACTGCTACCTTGACTAGCTGTAGCTCTTTTTCACTAAAGTGCTACTGCTATAACCAGTTTCCCTTTTTTCTTTTCCTCAGCATAATAGGAACATATATATTACATCATTGGACCCTTGCATAATAATGGCTAAGTGTGTATACAAAATAGGAACATATATATATTACATCATTGGACCCATGCATAATAATGGCTAATTAAGTGTGTATACAAAATAGGAACATATATTTCCATTTTGCAAAAACATGAAATATTAATCACACCTCTATCTTGAGATCGAGCACACGGTGGAGATGATGTAGGGAGGTCAAAAGTGCACAAAGCTCTTCTTGACAAAGAAAGATCTAGTTAGGGGGTAAATAGGTCACTTAACTAAATGCTACATCTACCTAGCTAGCTAATTTGGGAGGAGACAACTTCAACTAGTGGAGGGGGGAGGAAAAAGAGAAAGGAGATGAATTAATGGAGGTGGTGTAGTTATAGCTAGGAGTAATGAAGAGAGAGAAAGGTAGGTAGAAGAGGGAGAGTAATGGGGGGAGAAGTATTGAGGAAGAAGAGTGAGAGAGGGAGGATGTGGGAGGTAGGGGAAAGGGAGGAGAGGAGATGGGGAGGGGAGGTGGAAAAGGTGGTGGGTGCTGCGTCTTAGCAGTAGCGCGGGAGAGAAAGCGCGCTGCTGCTAAGAGCGTAGCAACAGCGCGCTTTCCTGTCACGCGCTACTGCTAAACGGGCCAACCCTATGCACAATTTCAAAATTAGCAGCAGCGAGGTGACAAAAAAGCGCGCTGCTACTATGGCATTAGCAGCAGCGCGCTCCCTGGCACCACGCTACTGGTAAACTTATGTCGTTGTGTACTGTCGGTGGATTTTTGTAGCAGCGCGGTTTAAGCGTCACGCGCTACTGCTAAGTTTGCACCATTAGCGAGCTTTCCGTAGCCGCGCTGCTACTACTTAGCAGCAGCGCCTGTTTTTATGCCGCGCTGCTGCTAAGATTCTGTGTATAAGGCTTTCCCTAGTAGTGTACGTGTGGAAGTCCCACCAAGTATGATAGATTAGTTATAGGCTTCATGGTGTTTGTTTTACATTCTTTCTTATAGGCAAATCATATCAACATATTCTTTTACATGATCACTTTGAATCATGTTTTATTCTGAATAGATCTGCTGAGTGGTCACATCTGTAGTTTCATTTAGTTACTTTTGGTCATTTCAGTGCAGAGTAAACGCAATGAGATAAACTATGAATTTTGGCATTCATGTGTCTGTCCTCCTAACATCAACCAATAGTACATTGATTGCCGCCTTCCATTTTGTTCAAGTTTGCAGGGCCAGTTGACTGCTCAGATGCCCAATTCAATGTGCAGCACTTGTTCCGCAAGTTAGGAAATGAAGAGTTCATTGGTCAGCGGATAATCCTTGCAGTTTCTCAAAAGATCTCAAATGTATCAGAAAGCTTGCTTCTCTTAGATCCATTTGATGATTCCTTCCCTGATATGCATGGCAATATGTTCATTATGTAAGCTTAAGCTGATCTTCTTTTCATTCTAGTTTATATTACAGTCGGATAATTTTAACTTCTCCAAAGGCACTCATGATTACCTGTTCTTCAGTGTACCTATTTTAATTCACTAGTTTATAACAGACGTTTTGACCTGTAGCATTGAAATCTGGATGAAAAACTATACCAGCAGTTTGCACAGGGCAGCTATTCCTACATGTGCAGTAGTTCATAGTCATTTAGTCTTGAAATATTGGATGAAGAATAGTTTGAAGAGGCTACCATTACCACTTTAGCAGTATAGTGAAAAATGCTTTGAATAGCCGATCAGTTGCCCATTAATTTGGCGCTGGCCCAAAGTGTCACAATTAGGATACACAGGTTTGAGCTTTCATTGGCTTACAAATCTGGTTAATTGACAGCCTACAGCCCATTTAGTTTTTTGTTTTGCGGGATTGCTCATTTAGTGGTGCCTGTAACTTTTTAGCATCCTGCATGTGCATCAACTATGTTATTCTTCATTGGTCCAAATTTATTCCTGTCTTATTGATCTTTACAGACTGTATGGTTGGATATGTGTAGAATTAACTGAATATTTGAAGGGGGATATACAACAGTTGCTACTTCCTGCAACAGTTTCAGAAATAGATGATGGTGTAGAAAATATATTTTCAAATTTGTTAGACAAGTAACATATAAGAAACGGAACTTTATCATTAGATTTGTGATGGAAAATATTTTCACAACATGCTCTTAAGTAGTAACATATTCACACACAAAATAACGGTCAAAGTTACATATTAAGAATGCAATGTGTGCTCATGTATGGAGTGTCGTCTCTATAGTTCGTATGAGATTTTTTTTTTGTTACCTTGATTCTGACTGCATAACTAAATGTTGCGTGTGGTCATCCTATTCGTGTGTTGCAGGATTCAATTAATCGAGTTCCTCATATCTGATTACATGAAAATTTGGCTATGTTGCGAGCAATTTGACAAAAGTTAGTGTTTTCTTACCCCTGGCCATCCTTTTCCCTATCTATTAAGTTTTCTGAATTGTGTTTGCATTCAACCCTTAAAACAACAACAGAGTCTTTCAGTCCCGAACAAGTTGGGGTAGGCTAGAGTTGAAACCCATAAGATCTCGAAACCTAGTCATGGTTCTGGCATGTGGATAGGTAACTTCCACGCACCCCTGTCTATGGCTAGTCCTTGGTGATATTCCAGTTCTTCAGGTCTCTCTTTATGGACTCCTCCCATGTCAAGTTTGGTCTAGCTCAACCTCTCTTGACATTATCAACATTCAACATGACAGTGTGAAAAATATCAGGGTCGCATCACTTGATTTAAAGAAATTGTGTCGTATCAAATATCTAAATATAGATACTGTGTTTTAGTTGGCAGCCACAGTTGAGAGCTTTTTATTATATAGATGTGCATCTTTAATTACAAATTTGAATCGATAAATACTGAAATGTACTCTATCCAAATAATACCACTGCTAATAGAGCTTCAGTGCATCATACTATGCTATATGTTCCCGGCAATTCATTGCAGAGAGTTTGATCAAAATTTACAAACTGTTATCCAGAAATATTTGAAGAATGGGTCAGATCTATTCTGAAGGCACGCAAAGACCTGGAAGTCCTAGAAAACATAAATGGGCTGTATGTAGTGTACATTGAGCGAGTGGTCGGAAGGTTGGCGAGGGAGGTGGCTCCTGCTGCTCACCAGGGGAAGCTGGACCTGGATGTCTTTTCCAAACTCCTGTGCTGATAACTTCCAGCCTCAGACCTGAAAATGTATTACTCACAAGTTACTTGACTGACCTGTTTACAGTTTGTTTTTACTCCAGAAATTAGCTATTGAATCTATTGTTTTGCTGTTATTCTGGAAGCACATATTGTTCCATTGCCCTTTACTCACATATTCATAATATATCATGTTCTGCATATCAATTTCAGGATGCTTACCTACAGAAAGATTGTCCAGAAAGCTGGCGTTCTGTAACTTCTGTTCGCCACTGAACAGCCAGAACCAAGACATAACCAAAGAATGCTTAATTATTTCATCTTGTGAATGTGTAGTTACTGCAAACCAGTTTGCTATAACCAAGTACGTATGATTAATTGTTGTAATTAGACTTAGATATGCGGATACTAGTCTATAATAAACTTCAGAATCTATGGATGGATCTAACATTGGCAGTTTGATTCATAAATCTTTATAACTGTGGCACCTTTCACTTCACACCGTTGCCTTGCATTTCTTGTCTTCTATTCTTGAGCGACTTGCAAATACAGTTTTTAGTTTCAAACTATAGAAAGAAAATAAATCATACAACCTGATTTTCTATTTATTATCTAGACGCTCTAAAAAAGAGGCAAAGCTTCTTACTCCTGTACCCTCATGTCATATTCATAAGTCATACAAGATCATGCCGTATCTGCTTTAAAAGGTAAGAGTACTTCTCTTAACTAAGAGAGTGTAATACCATTGCATGTGCCGTGCAGTGGGTGCTGTTGTCTGTTACTCTTGATGTGCACGTTCCTTGCTTCATTTCTAGTTGTGATGTTGAAATCACGGCGTCAACTGGTGACGCCAAGCTAAATGACTAGTCGCATTTTGGGGGTACTTTGCTCAACTGTTAACTTCTTGCTTTACAATTATTATCCGATCAGACTTCTTGTGGCCGAAAATACAATGGCCTTCTGGAACTAGAATCACAAATGAATTGGCTGTATTTTTTCCCTTACTATTGTGATCGCAAATGAATCTCAAACTTATTCCATATATCGAAGATTGATAAAAAAAATACTAATATGTGCATCGAACATTTTCCAGGAACACTGGCAGTGCTCTGGGGCTGGCTAGATATGTTTGGAATTGCCAGCACCAATTCTTCTGCAGTAACATAGCGAGGACAGCAAGCGGCATGAAAGATATGCGGGGGAATAGTGTGAGCATGCTCAAATAGTATTAGGTTGGAGACACAAAAAGTTTGGACATGAGTAGAAATGCTTCCGCTCTTGTTTTGGGAGAATGAAGTTTCACTCCTCACCCTAAGGCAAGCAGATGAACCCTAGCAAGCTTTATTGTTCAAATCAGTGTTTGAGGAGTTACATCACCTTTCTAGCCGGCCTTCTGTTGACACCCTTGTCGGTAGAATCAAAGATGAGGCCAGGCTTTGGTCTAGGGCAGGTGCCACCGGGCTTAGAACTGTCCTACCGACACACTGGGACGTGCATTATTCTTGCTCCTTGTTTGTAACCTCTTAGGAGGGCTGTAACCTTTGCGTTTTCTTGAAAAGAAAACATCACCTTTCCAGCCAGCAGCTATCATTGCCCCCTTTCTCTACTTGCATAACAACAGCAAATCTTGTGAAGAGAGATGACAACTAATCAATCTGAGGCTCTTTCAAGTCTTTGCATTACCTTGGTTAATCTGAACCGCCCTCTTCGCCTCATTGACAGGGTGTCTATGCTTGATCAGTGCAAGGTCGTTTTCGCGAGGGCTGATATGATCCAGCATCTTATGCCTCAGTGGCAAAGGGGGGAAAGGAAAAACAAGTGGCGTGTGCTGCTGTTCCAGCGCCTGGATCTGGCCTTCTTCCCCAGCTGTGAAACATCTGAATCCCAGGTTTGACACACGAGCCACTCATCTTCTTATTGCCATTTGGATGCGAATGAGGGAAACGAAGGCGAGTGCACTTTACTTGGTCACCGTCGAGGCTAACTAACCAAATACTCCTATGAGATCGATTATTATTGCTCTTTTGGAAATCAGATCTTGTACAGTTTAAATTCAGTAACGTAGTGACTGCGTTGTGTGGTTGTAACTAGTCCGTTATGCCACGGTTAATGGAAATAGTTGAAATTCGTTAGTACAATTATATATTGCCGGCTTGCCTTGGTTTCCCACCGACCAGGGGACCAGGCTAGCCACGTTAGGTGGTACTAGTATCTGAATAATTCCAACCTATGGGATGGATCATATTGATAGATAGATAGATAAGATAACACGAGTGATAATAAGCCGATGGACGGAGCAAGACAAGTCGATGGAAGTGTCCGCCCCCCCCCTGTTTGTCCATTTGCCTCTTGCGACGGCAGCATGTATCATATTGATGGATCGATGGTGTGGGACTGGGACTGGTCCTTGAGATACCTGAATCAATTCCCATGGCCCCAGTGGAATAATGGAGGCACCTAACTGCAGCAAGGCCGCCGGGTGATTGCGTAGGAGCATGCGTACATGCCTGGGAGGAGCTAGGATCCATGTCTTGCCTGTCTTTGTGTCTGTCACTTGCGTGCAAGTGCTACCACAAGCTAGCATCAGGGAAAAAGATGTTGCCTACAGTAGAAACACCTCTTTACTTTCTTCCTGAAGCCAGGTGATGTGAACACGTGAGAGTGAGACGAGGATGACGCTAGCTGCATGTGGGGTCGACCTAGCTCCATCCGAGCATTTGGTGAATTAGAGCGTCTTCAATCGGGCTGGACAAATTTCATCTTTCATATATCCGCAGACGGGATCAACCTCTATTTATTCACCCTCATAGCTGTTTTCTCGTACCCAAAACCTCAAATCCATACAAGCAATACGTAAATAGCATACATAGGATATAGATCAAACAACGAACATCATAGGATAATGAAGGCAATATTTAACTAAGACTAGATAGTTTGATAGTGCAAGACAACATTTAACTAAGAATAGATAGTTCGACAGCATAACTAAACTACGACTTACATGGGGGATCATGGGCGGTCGTCCTTGCCCTTGCCATTGTTTTCTTTGTCGCGGAAGTAGCACTCGAAGGCGACGTAGGAGTCGAGACAGATCTGCTCGCTCCGGAGCTGGATGAGTCGGAGGAGGCACCGGACATGTTCTCAAATGATTTCAGGGGTAGGTTGACGAGGGCACGGACAGCCCGGGCTTGCTCCACCGCGAGGGCAGGGACAGTTCAGCTTGCCGCTTCACCAGGATCTGGTCTTGGGCATCCTTCTTCTCCGTGGCGTGACACGGCTCCTCATGCTCCTCAATGTCTTGGTGTTGATCTGTTGGCGATCTAGCATGTCCGACTCCTTGGAGGATAGGGACCGTGTCATCGGATTCAGATGGCACCAGCACCGCAATGGATGCGACAAACGAGCAGGAGCCACGACGCGCCTTCACCCTTTCACGGTAGGCACGCTGTGCCTAGACCACGAAGTAGCCGTCATAGCTGCCATAGCCGTCGCATCTGTATCATGGTTGTTGTCGTTGGCTCCGGACTCCGAGGCCAATGTTGCGGGGACAAGCACCCTGCTAGGCGGATCCGCTCTCACAACCTCACAATATAACTAGGAAGACATTTCAAATACCACACATGAGTCACGAGATATGCAAGTTTGATGTGTCCCATTTGGTATCTTTGTGTACGAGAATCCACAAATTCTACCCTGCATTTTTGGCAAAATATTTTGTCTTCTTTTTTAGCTCCACTTGCTCGAGAATTGCCACAAGCAAAAATCCCGCTTTCTATGGGTCAAAATATTGTTTCGCAAAACAATCCATCTTTTCCTTAAGCATATATTCTAATTAAGAAAAGTGTGTTGTAATCAAATTTAGTTTTTCCTTTCAGCAACAAAATCATTCTTTGACCCCGCTCATTTCCCCCTCGGCAATTTTCATACCTCGTTATCGGCCATCTCCTTGCAAGAAGATAATTAAAGCATCATCTTTCTCCCCTACCCTTCTTCCTTCCACCTTCATTATCGTCACCATCTCTAAGCACTGCTTGTAAATCCTGTACTGGTACAAAATATTATTATTTCATCAAAGATTCTTTTGATGCTCTTTTTGACTATCAGTAATTTGAATAGGCGCATGCAAGAGATGGGACTGTCGAAGAGGTACGCGAAGAGGGTGACGTGCGAGAAAAGGTACATACTCGCTCCCGCGACGCGCCCCGCGCGCGCGTCACGGGAGAAACCCTAGCGCTGCCGGTGGGCTTCCCCTCCTCCTCCCTCCTCTCCCTCGTCGCCGCCAGAGAGGGCGCGTCGGGCGAAGCCTGGTAGGCGCCGACGGCGACGGGGCTGCCTTGTCTCCTCAGCGGGGGCCTTCGGCATGGGTCGAGGCGGCTGCCTGGGATGCGGCGCTGGCGGCCGCGGCGACGAGCTGGAGCCTGCTGGCGGCGACTTAGTGGCGGCGGCGGGCGTGCCTTGGTTGCTATCGTGGTCGTTCCCTTCTTGGGGACACCATCTTGGAGGCCTGGTTCCGCCGTTCCGTCTCACCTCCCCTCGGAGGAGGAGGTCTCCGGTGGCTCCAAGCAGTTTGTCCTCGCGCATTTGTAGTGGCTTGGTAGTCGTTGGGGTGGTGTGGCGGTGCCCGACACCTTTGTATCTCGCCTTGGGTGTGCGTGTCGTGTGCGGTGGTGGCGTGAGTTTGTATCATGGTCCTTGTGGTTCGGTGCTTTATATATAAAGCGGGGCGAAAGCCTTTTTCGGTAAGAGGGTGACGTGCTCGAGTTAGCTCGTGATCTCCCATGATGGCGATCTTACCGAAAAAGGCTTTCGCCCCGCTTTTTAAATAAAGCAAACCGCCAAGAGCACACATACAAGCATAGTTCGGCGCACACACACACCCAAGTCTCACGACACAAAGTACATAGGTTCTGCCGAGGGCACAACTCAACAAGCCCTAAAAAGAAAAGAAAACACAAGGGGCGCTGGCGCGGCGACTAACAGCGGCCGTAATCAGGCTCCGGTGGCGGCGGGGGAGCTGGTGGTGAC